AATCCTGATATTTCTGATTTATAAAGTCTTCAGCAAGTAAGCCCTGTGCACTATAAAAGGAATGGACCCTGTAGGCAGGTTCCTATCCTGCAGGGAAAGGGGAAAGGAGACAAAGTAAATTCACTTGCCATGGACACTCTTCATCCCCAAAGTGAATTCACTACCATGGAGGACTCCAAGAAAGCTCATAACAACTGCAATGGGTAAGAATCCCCACTAACACAGACGTCTCCAGGCTCTCCTGTAAATATTTGGTATTTTATCCGGAAAAAAGACCAATTATGGTCAGTGAGACTTACTCCTAGGTCAACAGGTATACAGGATTTAGGATTGCCAACTTAAACATGTTGCAAGTGAGCTCCAGAGAAGAAAAGGGGCAGCAAGAGAGAGCGGGAGGGCTGTGACATAGAGGAAGCAATGCAGGGCTTACCTGAAGGGAATGTCTCAGCAAAATGGAGGTGAGCAGGGAGCAAACAAGAAGAAAGAAGAGAAGGTGTAGATAAGAGGCAGCCAAGGAGATTTGAAAAACTGACCTTTACAGCTACTGGTGAGATAAACCAGGGTGATTACTGCCATACCACAAAGAGATTAAGGCAGGGAGAGCTTTCCTCAAGCCTCCTAGTGAGTTGAGGGCCGAGGTGACATTTGAACCCGATGCAGCATTATTTAGCATTGCATACTGGTTGGGCGGTCCTCCCACTGGGTAGAGCCAGCTCTGCCATGAGCTCATGCACCCTGCTTAGAAAAAACAAGACGAGCAGGGTGATGCTCCTCATGCAGCGAGGCTGTCCCGCTACCAGGTACACGGCTATAGGAGTGTGAAGCAGGCCTATCTAGATTATTTTGCTGAGATATCCAGCTTCATGCTCTCTCGATCCATTGGAACTACAGTTCGTAGCATCATTGCCCATTCACCATGCTGGCTAGGGATGTTGGGCACTGTGCTCTGATCTAGCTGGAGAGATTCCAGCTGGGGAGACTTGCTCTGAATGCCGATTGGGTTGGATGCACTTGGCCTGACTTGTGCACCATGCCCCTAAATCTATAGAGGAAGCCAGACCAGCACAGCCTGGTCCTGGTGCTCAGTGCCTTTTCCCTCTTGATTACAGCTTCTCTGCCTGTTACTTCCTGACAGTCTTGGTCAACTAAGCGGAATTTGCTTGGCTTGGCTTTGCACTTGGAAGGGAGGCCTGCAAAGCCTTAATTCTGCCACAACATGCTATGGAAATGAGAGATGTTTTCTTTTCCCTGTCATATTTCTTCCACACTCACATGAAGCCCACAGAACAGTCATGCTGTTTCTGGATATCAGATTCCACTGTAAACACATGGCTGTGCTACAAAGAAAGGCCATGGAGTTTCTGTCTGCGAGCAAGACATGCCCATGCCAGCAGCTGAGCAGGCCTTGCCCCCATAAGAGCCGAGACGGCGAGAGGGGAGACTGGTTCCAGGCCCTTCGTACTCTGCCCGTCCCTATGCCGTGATTCACCGCGCTGCCTGCTCAGCCCCTGCGATCCATACAGCAACTCAAGAAAAGGAGCACGAGAAAATAAACAACACCGGGGGCCAAGTTACCAGGCGCATTCCTTTTTCCACTTGCAGCTCAGATTCAAGCCATTAGATCGGCTGCACTGGGCACTGCACTGCCCGCCAGAGCAGCTGCTTAGGGCCGGCCTCCAGCAGGGCTCCTCGGGCAAGAGGCCTGTTCCTCCTCCTCGCCACGGCCACCTGCCGGCTCACCCGGCCATGGTGCTGGTGGCGGCGGCAGCGGTGGCAGAGAGACGGAGCAACAGACCCCGCCGCCTGCTTGCCGCTGACTCACTGCCTGACAAGCAGAGGTGCATGAGAAAGGATGAGGGGTGAGAGCAGGGGAAGTGCGAGGGGAGGGAAAGACTGGGAACAAGGCCATGGGACCAAACAAGTGCACAACCCCTTCTGCTCATTAGCATGCGTTCTGAAGCCCGTGTGTGTGCGCACATGCTCAAAGGACTAGCTGTCATAGGGACACTCCTATTTGTAAAAAGGGGTGCATGGACAGAGAAACAGAGGGCACTTGATTTCGGGCGGGGGAGGTAAAAAAAAACTCAGGCAGAGATGCAAGCGGGGAGGAGCAAGAGGTGATCCACAGCCAGCTAATCCAAGGGCGTCGGGTGGCCTTTATTTCAACCACTGCCCATGGACAGCAGGGTGGCGGAGCCCATGGCCTTCCAGAGGTTCAGGGCTCCAGCCAAGGCTTCTGAGTGAGAGCAGCCGGTAACAATGGGAGTGAGAAGGAAGACTCACTGGCGGGGGGCATTGAGGGGTCTTTGCCCCTTGGATATTTGGGGCAAGCACTACGCTGCCACAGGTCAGCAAGGGGTTGGGAAGCTTCCATGCCTGGCTCTAACCTTGAGCTAATCCCCGTGCAGCCTGTTCCTCCATTTCCAGGAGGGGCTTTGGAAGCTGATCCCGTCTCTTAATGCTGGGGGTTCGCTGTCGCCTTCCCCATTGCTCTTTCATATGTCGGTGGAGGGACTGGGCTCTCTGCCCGTTTGCATGGTCTCTTCTCTCCCAGCCCACCCTCAGCACAAGCATCGACCAAGTCCAACTTCCTCGTGGGCTCTTTCAGGACCCCCACCTCCCCTCCCACACACCCTTCCTAGGAGAGCAAAGAAAGGCTCCACTGGTCAGCGTGTGCTTTCCCAAACATCTTGCCACTGCAGCGCAGGGCAGGAAGTTGCCAAGCCATTGGGCAACCCTCCTAAAAGCACAGCAGGGGACACAACATCCCCTCTTCACTGGCCTGAAGATTTCATAACCGCCATCTGTGGGGAGAGCCTCTAACAGCAGTGACGCCTCTTCCCAGCCTCTCTTAAGCCTCTTCACACAAGCTCTATTTCCAGCCCAGGAAGCAGACAACACATGAACCCAGCATGTCCCATTATTTGAAAGTTTGAATGCAATTTTAATGTGGGGTTTTATTGTATCGAAAATCAACTTGGATGCTGTGCTCTACTCTGTTTTACTGTAAGACCCTCCCAAGACCTTGGTAGCGGACGGTATATAAACATTTTAAATAAATAAATATGTAATCTGTGCGGAGACAACGAAAGATGTATGGTGTTTTGTTCCATGTACATATAAGGTGCACTGGCAAAAGCTTCTGTGACTTCCGTGCAGGAAATCTCATCTCAAGTGCTCAAGTAGTCTTTCGACTCAAAACAAGGCGACATTTGGCTGGGTCTAGACAAAAAGGTCATAAATTAAATACAGGTGCCAGCTAATGATGTGTGGACAGAACCGTGGGAAATGGGGGTTTAGTCTTCATTTTCTTGTCCATCTACTGTATAACTGGGAAAGAGGGCTAGATCTAACTTTCAATCAATAGCACAGAGAGAAAAAGAACCGAAGCATTCTCAAATGATAGTGTGACCTCTTCATCTGCCCGGAGGGTCACTGAGATCCTAAGAAAGTATTCCAAACTGATCGTGGAGGCCAGAGGGAGGGTGCTCTGGAATCCCGGTGGGTGTTGCTGTGATCTGGGAGACGCTGACAGTAGGTCTGGGGGGAGAGCAGAAGGGCAAGGCTATCAGGGAGCCGGCAGGGCATCTGACCTGGAGCTCTGCTCTGCTGCGGTTGTTAGAAGAACACAAGGGGGTTCTTCCTCTCTGCTTTTTATGTTCCATTACGCAGCATAAGGTAGCTCTGTGGAAAAGAGTTAGACTCTGCAGAAGGCTTCTGTAGCAAGTGAAGGAAATAGTAAGGTATCCTAGCTCCAAAAATATCCTCAAAAATTACAGTAAAGGAAAACCCAGGAGAGGCCCAGGAGAATGACAGTGTTGTGTAAGGGACCTGCACATTTCTATAATTGAAGAAGCACATGCACACAATAAATGCCTTATGTAAAAAAGCTGCAGCAGAAGAGTGTAATACAGTGACCCAGCTTAGGTTCACAACTGCAGCCTCCTCCGTTTTTCAGAGGAAGAGGTGCTTCCAGAAAAAGCTTTCATTGTTCGGTTGCTCTGCCTCATTCACAGAATTATAATAGCAGGGCTGGGGCATTCCCGTCCAAGACATCCTCTGCTTATAACCCTCCCATATTTACTCACTGCTTCCTCCACTCTTTTTCTTTACACATAGAGTCTACCCAGACAGCCCTAAATTGGGCTATAGGTTGCGGTATATAAATTTTAAAAATAAAATAATAAATAAAGAGGAAATGGATTATAGGGTTTGGGGGTTTTTGAAATATTTTTACATGTATGATTCTTTCCCTCGGCATTTTACCCTCCCGAACATCCTGTGAGGTAGATTAGAGTGAGCTGCATAAGTGGCCTGAAGTCCCAGTGAGCTTCACGGCTAAGTGGGATCCGCCGATTCCCAGTTCCACTCTGTAACCACTGCACCACACTGGCTCCCAGCGGTGGAAGAGCTCCACGGTGTCTTTTAACTGGCAGCGCTCGGAAGACCCCTCCGTCTGAAGCCCTCCAGGTGTCGGCAGAAAGGATGCAGTTCTCTCCGTGTTCAGGAGAAGAAGTCCTACCGTTCCTAGCAGGCCTGGCTGGAAGCTGGAGGGCTTTCTTTCCGGCTAAACACGCACAGGACTTCACCCACATGAGGAATTCACTTTACTGCTTCATTTCCTGCATCCAACGGGTCCTGCTCCCAGTGAGGGTATTCAGAGCATTTAAAGAATGGAGATTGCATACGCGCCCATCCCTCCCTTTCCACGCATGCTCAGCTGGAGGGGAATCTTATCTGTGCCGGAACTGTTGCGAGCATCCAATCTGCAAGCAAAGCTCCTCACTTCCACCACGTTTGGGGCTCGGGCGGGCACGAGGCTCCCGCCGCTTCGGTGCCCGACGGCAGTTCCACGGAACGTGCCGGCTCCCGGGAGCCGGTCCTTATTTGGAGGGCACCGCCCCCCGTGCCGGCTGGGCGGGGGCGGGGTCCAGCGCGCCCCCTAGCGCCTGGACGCCGCGGCCCTATAACTGAGCGAGGAGCGAGGCAGGGAGAGGGAAGATCGAGCCGCGCGGCGCACATACCTTGAGCTCCCGACGGGCTCCGCTTTCCGCGGAGCAGCACTGGAGGCGCTGCGCGACCTGCGGAAGGTGAGTTACCTGCGGGGTCCAGCCAGCTCTCCCTCGCGGAACTCCGGCAGGCGGGCGGGGGCGCAGAGGAGGCGAGGGAGCGGCTGGCGCTTGGTGGGCGCGGAAGGGCCCCTCGGGCCAGGTGTCCTTCTGGCCGAAAAGGCTGCGGCAGGAGCGGGAAAGAGGTAGCTCGGCTGGGGACGCCGCGGGACCTTCCTATGCCGATTACTCCCGACTCGCTCAAGACGGACGAGACCGTCCCCGCCCTTGAGAGACGGCGCATCTCTCGGCTGTTCCGCGGACCGTCCGAAAGACGCGAAGCTTCTCCAGTTCGCGCTGCCCTCCCCGCATCTCCAAGCGGCAGTCAGCTGCGCCGTGTGAACGTACTCCGGGGCGGCCGGAGCCGGGATGGTTCAAGAGGACCAGCGAAGGAAGGATGATTTTAAAAAATCACGAAGAGTCTTTCGACATCTTCAAGGCTAGCTAACTTGCTTATTCTGGCAGAAAACTTCAGTGGACTCTGCCCACTTCATCAGACGCGTAGCGTGAATTGTTAACCTCAGATCGGTAGATCCGCCGGTTAGGTTCGCACTTCATGCATCCATCCGATGAGGTGAACAGTGCCCACGAAACCTTGTGCTGAGGAGGGGAGCTAGTCTTGCAGGTGCTGCGGGGCTTTCGCTTGGTTTTGCTGCCTCGAGCTCACGCGGCAGCCGCCTAGCAGATCGCGTCTTTGCAGGGTGCGCTGCATGCTTGCGGAGTGGGGAAGCCAGTCCCTGCTGGGGACTGTCCCTGTTTAAAAGCTCTAGCAAAAGAGGTGGAAAAGAGCTGAGGGATCTGCAGAAAATCCTTCTCAACACTCTTGTGTTCTGTTCTAATGGATCTTCATGGCTCTTGACCACTCTTCTTGTAGCCACGATCAGGGTGCACAATTGCACGTTTAATACAGCTGGTGCAGGTACTGTGGAGTGCGCCTTCTAATCCGAGCAATACTGTTCGGCCTGCAGGATGAATTCTTCTCGGAGTAAAAGGGTGCGGTGCTTTTTTTAATCCATGTGACAATTCAGGGTTCAGTGGAAACTTGGGAGACTAAGGCTCTAGAAAGGGCCTGTCTCGAGCGAAAGCTCTCCTTGCTGTTTCCGCTGCATGGTTGGAATTGAGCAGGATGGATTCTTGCAGCCTTCCCCAACTTGGTGCCCTCCAGATGTTTTGGACAATTGCCAGTACTAGCTATTCTACATGGACCTGATGGAAACCCCAGTCCAAAAAAAAAAAAAAAAAAAAAAAAACCTGGTGGGCATAAGATTGAAAAGGCTGGAAGAGAATGCTTGCATGGAGACATGTGAACTGGCAGCCTGATACTTCATCTTGTGCCATGTGCAAGATCTTATGTAGGCAGTCAAATTAAGTACATTTTAATTGATTTATCAGATGAGTTTCAGTTGATTAGATTGAACTGGCATTAATGTGCATATAGATAAAGTATTCCCAAAGCAAAATACACACTTTGCTGTACCAGAGATTAAGAACAGGCAGTGAGAGGAGAGGAGCTTGCATTCGCTGTGTGTGTGTGTGTGTGTGTGTGTACATACCTATTTTAAGAGGGTGTTTGCCATCTGTATTTTTTGTGAGTACTTGTATTTTTGTTGTAGGTTTTTTTTTTTGCACATTTTTACAATTACAGCAAAGGGTGCCTTTTTAGTTAATTAGCAGTTTTATAATTGATCAAACCAATTAACTAATCAACCATTGCAGTACTAATATAGTCATTAATTAACCCACATTAAGTACTGCCAATGCGGTAAAGTGATGCACACAAGAGCTCCTGTGACTGCTAAAGCAAGCGCCTTCCCAGCCCCCTCCGGGATTGTGAAGTCACAATCATTAACAAGACTAGATTGTGACGACAAAGGGGGAGTCAAAGGATAGTACAGGTTTAACAAATCTGTGCTGAGTGATTTCAAATGCGCTTGGGTTCTGTTTTTCATTCACCAGGCAAATAGGAGAAACAGTGCCTTATTAGAAGCTATGACTCAAGCTTCTGGTTCCGAATATAGCCCCAGGTTAGTTCAGCCAGACAGCAGGAATTAAAACAGAAGAAAAGAAAAGGAAAATTCAATTAGGTTGCATGTGTTTACTGTAGAAAGCAGTTGATTTAAACACTCACCTGTAATGGAACTAGAGCTTAATACCATGTGCTTCTAGTGAGTGCAAGGAGATGAGTTTAGACTACCACACATCCCATCATCCAGCATAAGAGTGTGGTTCTCTTTCAAACAGTACAAAAATTGGAGGTAGCCACATTGGTGTGCTAGAAAACAAAAGCCCAAAGCCATAGTATTTAGGATGAACTAAAGTGTTGTAAATGAATGACCAAGCCTTGTAAAGCAAAATAATAGAGTGGAGGAAGAGAAAGCTCAACATGATGTTGAAGCTCCAAAGACTGCATTTTTAAACCATCCAACAGTGTGATCTTATACATATCTGTGCAGAAATAAGTCCCAATAAACCCAATGGGCCTTCCTCTCAGGTAAGAGTGTGCACTTCCAGGAAGAATGCAGGAGGTGCTTCTCAAGCAAATGCGGCTCTCCTGGGTCTAAGCCCTCGGAGCTTAGTAGATCCTAGTTCTGTGTTCAGGACTGCACTGTTAAGGTGCAAGTTTACCCATAATCTACCCTAGCAGAACAATTCTAAACACAATTTCCTGGACGTAAGTCCTACTGGGCTCCAATTAGATTCAAATAGGAGCAAAAAAAGAAGTTAGGACCATAGGGATAAAGTAACTATTGCCCTCTCATGTTTTATAAAAATATAAAAACTGAGTTACTCTCTTCCATGTTGCAGACTACACTAATGCTTGTTGTTTTCCTTAGCGTTCTGCACAAAGAACTTGAAAGCTTGCATACGTTAATTGCTTTGTGACACTATAGTCTGTGGGCTTCCAAGGGAGGTGGTTGAGGCCCCATCCGTGAGGGTGTTCAAGTAAAGATTGGGCAAACACATGTTGGGGGTTACATGAGCAGAGCGGACTGCAGCCGGGGGTCAGACGAGATGGCCCGGGAGACCCCCTCTGAATTGCTTTTTTCCCCTATGTTTCTATGTTCTAATAAAGGTGTTTTTACCTTATGGCTTCTGCTTCCTTTTCAGATGTGCATTTGCTGGCAAAGTGTAGATAATAATGACCCTTAATATTTTGGGTTTACTGTCCTAGATTCATGAAGTGTTTCAGCAAGTTCTTGACCTGATGACTATTTGCAGAGTAGATGCGAGTTCCCAGGAACAGGCCCGACTCAACCCTCAACAAGGCTTTTGTTGTCTTTGTTTTTAACACTGCAGTGACGTATACAATCCAAAGAATGTGATGCAGCATTTGTCATTAGCTTCTTTGCACTTGCAATATTAGGCCAAATGAGTTTACATTCTTCATCTTAATTTTAGAAATAAACTTTAAAAACACCCACTCTGTTGGGTGTGGAATGGAAAATATAATGCACCATTGCATAGGAAAAAAAGGCATGCTTTATTTTTATAAATGATAATTAAATGTTTAAAATCTTCTAATGCTCCATGTATTTCCCCAGAGTCTCTCCCATGTATGGTTTTACAAACTGTATAATCCTTGATCCCAGAGTGATAGGGGAAAGATGGTCAAATTCTTCTACAAAAGTTGCCAAAAGTGGTCCCCCGTTCCTTGGGGTGCTTCAAGGTGGAGCGCTCCTAGAAAAACAGCTTGCAGCTACTGTCTTTTCCACCTGGAAGCATCCTTAATATTCTAGAATCCAGAAAAAATAGCTTGAATTTGCTGAGATCTTTCAAATATTCCCTTTCTTTCCCCAGATTTCTGCTTATTCTCCTCATCCTCCTAATCTGGCTGCAATCCTGTATGCACTTATCTGGGAGAAATGCCTCTTGAATTCAGTGGGACTTCTGAATAATTTGCATAGTATTGCAGTGTTACGAATTAAATGAATGGCAATGCATGGGATTTGGTACAGTATTTACAAATCAACAGCCTTGCAGATTTGAGAAGGACACGACACACAAGGAATCTCAAAAGAGGAGAGAGAAATCCATCAGGTTTAACAGCAAGACTGAAGATGATGTTAGGAAAAAGCACAATTAAAAGAGAAGCACTAAGGCAATCAAGAACCAGGCACAGACTGGTTCTTCCTTGTTTTAGATTCCACAGAAGCTGTGGGGTGAGGGAGGGAAGAGGAAGTCAGTTTTTGTCCAGTGGATTGCAGTTGTCTTGGGCAGAATCTGAGTTTCCGGTGCCTCTTTCACCCTTGCAGATGCCTGCATCTGGAGGCAGCCACTGACAGGATGTTTGCCATCCACCCTCCCAATGCGACCTGGCCGTCACCTGTCCTCCGCCTGGGGAACAACTCCTCAAGTCATGCAGAGCTGGTGAAGAGCCGGAACAGCAGTGCTCCTTCGGCAGCTGCCCCTATCTTCTCTATGACTCTGGGTGTCGTCTCCAACGTTGTGGCACTGGTGATCCTGGTCCAGTCCTACGCTCGCTTCCGGCGCCGCTCCAAGGCCACATTCCTGCTCTTTGCCAGCAGTCTGGTGATCACAGACCTCGCGGGCCATGTCATCCCAGGCTCCTTTGTACTGCACCTCTACGCCACGCAGTCCCGTTTCAGGGGCATGGACCCTTCCGGAGCCCTCTGCCAGTTCTTTGGTGCCTCTATGGTATTCTTTGGACTGTGCCCGCTCTTCCTGGGCTTCATAATGGCAGTGGAGCGCTGCGTGGGCATCACCCGGCCGTTGCTGCACGCGGCTTTGGTCACACCAGGCCGGACAAAGCTTTCCCTGTTTGGACTCTGGGCCACTGCCTTAGCCATTGCCCTGCTGCCTTTCTGCTCCTTTGGGAGGTACGAAATCCAGGCCTCAGACACCTGGTGCTTCATCAAAGTGGGGAAAACAGACACATGGTCCGAGGTGACTTTTGCCCTGCTTTTCTCCTTGCTGGGGTTGGCCTCACTGCTTGCGTCCTTCGTCTGCAACACATTCAGTGGATTCACTCTGGTGCGTGCGCGGCTCCGTGGTCAGCGCAAGTGTGGGTACCGGCGAGCCAAGGCCCACGACATTGAGATGGTTGTGCAGCTGGTGGGGATCATGATGGTTTCGTGCATCTGCTGGAGCCCCTTACTGGTAAGTGGGGGGGGGGGGCAGATACTGTGCAAAGGCGCTGGAAGGCTCAAGCAACCTCTCAGAGGCGCTGTGAGGGGAACTGCAGCACTAGACAGTGGCAGCTGGACCTTGGGACCAAAGGGAGAGCCCCAAGCCCCCGAAGGGCCACCTACAAAGGGGCATGTGTGGAGAATTATTTCTTTTCTGGAGTGGCGAACAGTTTTGCAGTTCTGCCACATCAGGAATATAGAAGCAGATCGAAAGCATGGGAGGGAGTGGATGCAGCGTGACAAAAACAGCACGAGTCGCTTTTCCTGTTGTGAAACACAACTTTCATTGTGTTTCACTAGTGAAGAATTATACGTGGCTGCCCAAAGGGAGCCCCCATTTGACCATCAAGTCCAGGGTCTTAGTGCTGCATCTTAGTGAGGCCTTAAGGCTGGGTGCCAGGGTAGAATCAGACACTGTCCGACACAAAGGGCAGCTTGATGGAATGGGGAAGGCAGTCTCTCGTCAGGGGAAGCACCTTCTAGGCAGAATCGGACCTGGAGACGTTCTGCCATTTTTCTATCCAGAGACCGGGGCATCAGCTCAGGCGGATAATATAAGGGTATCTTCAAAGCAGATCTAGTAGGTACTTTTCCCTCTTTCAGTCTAGCAAATGGATCAAGCTCGCATCCTGGAGTGAGCCCATGGGGAACGATCGTAGGCGCATTGCATGGATTGCTTTCTGTGTGGGGCCCTGATTCCATTTTGGATAAATTCTCCGCCAGAGCATTCTAGTACTGGGTGGGGCTAAGGCGAACGTGGTGTGGAAAAATACTGGCATGTATTAGCTCAAAGTTCTCCTGCCAGCAGCTAAACCATTTGGAGACGCATTGCAGCCTTTTAGAATGGAGGGGCAAAACTGCACAAAAGCCAGGAAACCACTGAACAGTTGGGGGGCAGGGGAACAGTTGCAGCAGAGGGAGAGGGAATGGTTTGGGGAGGCTCTGCTTGTGACTAGATTCAGTGTGGGAGGAGCTGGTATGTGGGAGGGGAGTGCCTATCCCTGTTGTGGGTTTTTGAGAGTCACTGGAGAGACACAGATTAGTGGAAGGTGCTCAGATCCCTTGGGAAGCATTGCCCTCTTACCTTCCTTTTTCACCTTTCTACTCACAGGTTTTCGTCATCTTGTCAGTGAGCAATTCCCATGGATCCCTGAATTATGGACAGCTGCTCTTTTTAGGCGTGCGCCTCGCCTCCTGGAACCAGATTCTGGATCCCTGGGTATATATCCTGCTGCGGCGCTCTGTGCTGCGCAAGATGATTGCCCTGTTTCTCCGGCGTCCTGATATCAAAGGGATCCAGTTTGACCGCTGGGAGGCCAGCTCTTTCCAAAGCTCAGAGCGCAGTGTTGCTGCTGGACGCATCTAACGCTGGCTGGAGCAAGTAGGAGTACCTATACCCTGGAGACGTTCTGAGAAACTGTTGGCACATTCTCCAAAATGTGCAGAATGTTCTCTTTGGTATTTAGCATCCAGGTTCCTTGGCTGATCATGCTATCGATGCAACTACAAGGAACCAGTGCAGCATCTGACCCTGGAACTAAGGAGTAACTGTGGGGCCCTAGACTGTGGAGCCATGTGCTCTACTGGGCCTGCTCCCTGCCTGGGCAGGACTTTCCTGTGAATGAGAGGCACTGGATCTTTTGGGGAGATTTGCTGAGGATCGATCGTGCTTTGTGTGGGGTGGCACCTGTCCTGCATGCAAAAGGTCTGACGTGCATTATAAGCACCTTCAGTTAAGCAGGATGGCAAAAAACCTCTGCCTCAGATGCAGGAGACCCACCACTGGACTACATGAACCAGTAGTGTGATTCAGCCTGAAAGATTTTGTCAGCAATGGGGAGAAGAGCCACGATTTGGTGCACTTTGAATGCATGCCATGCTTCTTGGTACAAGCCATACCATGTGTCGGGTTGTTACTAGTGGTGAAATGCTGGTATGAGTATGATGCCACCTGGAACTGCTTTGTATGGTTTAACTGCAAGTGCTCAGGAACATCTGCTTGCTTGTGGATTACCAGGCAAGGCGACACCTGCAGTGATCCTCCTGCACTGGATCATTTGATTTAGGTAACTCACCGTGTAACTTTCAATGTGCTACCCTGCAGAAACCTGGTCACTCAGAGCTCATCTTCCTAGCCTCCAGGCTGCTTCATTTCAGCTCTGTACAAGGAAACTTAAATATAAATGTTGCAGCCTTTAGTCAGAGGCAATGTGCTCCAAGAGGAAGTATCCTTATATAGCTCTAAGAGAGGCTGCATGTAAACTAACACAGTTAGTACAGACAGCTGCACTGCAACACATGGCAAGGATGGCCTTTAGTTTTGATGGCAACATTGGCCTCCTGCAGGGTGAAAAAGGCTGGAATGTGACTCCCAAGACCAAAAGGGAAAGGAAAAGGCTTCAAGAACTCAGCACTAGTAAGTTGGACTTGTCCATAGAAAGAGTTTGTGGTAGAGTTGAAATAGGCAGTCTCTCTAGCCCTGGATAAATTTCGGTTTGGAAGGAACCTGAGAGTCCTTTTGTGAAACTCCTTAGAAAGGTGGGGCTGGGCAGCCGACTGTAAATGAGGTACCTCTGAGTGTTGTACTACCCCGTACTCCAGGGTGATGTTGACAGGGGCAGGGGTCAAGAGAATACGAGTTTGCACGTCTGTCAAGTCACAGGGTCAGGGCTGACATGCTAGTACCCTGGCCTGTGGGAGCTCTTAACCAGCGCTGGGCGCTCTACAATAAAGTTTCCGTGGCACATTCTGGCCTGTTGTGCTTTGTCTTTGTGGCACTGACTTGTTCCTGCCATCAGCTGCTGCTGGCAGTCCTGCCCACCTGGAAGGCAGAGTTCTCCATTCATCCTAAGCAGTGTTTATCCATGCTGGGATTACTCTGTTCCCTCTGGCCCGTTGGCTGGTGGAGTAATGTGTATATGATTTAGCCTCTGCCTGAAACCTGGCAAAGGGCCCCGCAGCAGAAGAGAAACTTCCTTATGATCCCAGGGCAGGATTGATGGGCTTGACCAGCCCGGAGTCCTTATATGCTGCTTCACATTTTATGGCGGAGCCTGAAGCTGGGCCTCTAGTCTCCTCCCAGGCCAGCCCGTCTGTCTCTCTCTCCCCGTGTGCTTGGCAAGTCGCCTCCAAGTCAGCACCCCTCCCCCCACCAGGATCAGGATACCTTATCTTACAAAATTCCTCCCTGCATGATTGCCATGCAATTGCAGTTTATTGGTTATTGCAGTTTATAGAAGTCTCTGTCACTTGATAGTACAAATGGGAGATCATTGACCTCATGAGGAAAACAGGCTTCAAATGCTGACTGCTGTGGGAGAGACAGGACTGACGGGAGTAGCTGGGCTGACTAGCAAGAGGAGCTGGGAGAAGGCAGGCTGCCCAGTTCCTTGGATTATAACCTGGAAACCACTGGAGTCCAAACAGCGCAAGGAACAGGCACCAGCGGGACAGTTTGAGAGGAGGCACGGTGGGGGCGGCAGGGAGGAACCCGTGGCCAGCTTTCCTCCCCGCTCCTGAGCTTCGACAGGTGGGCGCTGGAAACAGTGCCGCAGCAGAGATGCCTGTGGTCTGATCCAGCCTGGCCACGTTCTCAGGACAGCTGCTGGGCTCTGGCTCCCCCTGGCGACTGCTTCAACACCCAGCACTCCAACGGCTGTAAGAGCCACGGGCTTTCTGTCAGTGGCCAAATCAGGCAAAACAGCCTCACCCATTTTGTCTCGGGTAACTCTGCTTCTGTATCCAAGGGTGAGGGCAAGGTGTTGGGCCTCAAGCACCAATCCGTATATTAAAGAGCACAACAGCCATGAGCACACGGGGCCAAGAAGCAGCCCTTCCCCATACAATCAGTTATAGAGATCGTCGTCGCCCTCCTCCTGGAAGAGGCTTCCCTGGCCGCTGCCGCTTTCATTGTTGCCGCTGCCTCCGCTGCTGCTCTGCTTTCCAGATGGAAACCTGCACACAAAAGCGGCAGTTTTGCTTTAGCACAGGAGGAAGCTGCCTTCTGCATGATGAATGTGGGCCCTGCTTCAGCTGTCACGCACAAAGCAGGCGCGAGCATCCAGCCCGTTCTGGGAGAATGTGGCCGTGGCTGCACATCGGAATGCGTCCCAGTGAAAGCAGTTGGTACAGGTTGAATTCAATCCGCATTAAGATGCGCAACCGACATCCGTCCTTCCACACTGAATCATTCCCTCCATGTTAAGTCTGAATGTCATTGCTTATGGCACCACCCACACATAGCAGGGATGTACCCACAGACTAGTGCAGATTCCAAGGTTTGCACAAGCACAGGGGGAAAACCCAATTGGAGAGAGGAGCCCCAATGAAGACTGACCATGCTCAGGGGCCACTGGACAGTGGTTGACCATGGCAAGAAAGCTGGGAAACTGGGGAGTGGAGTAGCTAGACTTCTGAACAGCAATACTCCATATAGTGGCATTCTGCTGCAGCTTCCACCAATTTCATTTTGTAATAAAAATGAAAGGTGCTTTGGGTACCCTTCTTTGGGTATGTATTTTTTCTTATCTGCTGGGGAATGCAGCCCACACAAATTCAGATGATGAAGTCAAGGTGAGGTTCCTCTAGTGCAGCCTTTCCAGCCCGGTACCCCCTTTCTGTTTTTGACTTCAGCTTCCATCAGCCCCAGCCAGCACGGCAAACAGGGAACTGTCGTTCAAAACCTCTGAAGGCACCAGGCTGAGCAAGGCTGCTCTGTCTCATTTGAAAAGAATGCCAAGGTGCCTCTATCCACTGCACAGTTGTAAAACTCCGCTAGCAAAAGGCTTTTCCAACATTACCTGAAGTTGCCAAAGCCGCGACTTTGCTGTAGTGTCTGGGCAAACATCTCGTACTTGCGGATGTCATTATCACTGACCGAACGGCGTGCAAATCGCATTGCTTCCTCAAAATGATCGCGTCGGATCTCAGGCACTGGGTCATAATCATCATCCTGTTACAAAGGGCAGAAAAAAAACACTGCTCATCTGTTCTTTACCAGCACAATGAGATCAATGCGACGTAGGATACTGTGGCCCTTGGGTGGCACCAGGTGTATTTTCCGAGGTGAAACATGGCACTGAGGTGAAACAGCGAGGCTTAAGACGATGGGGAAGATCTTGGCCAGGCCCTTTTAGGAGGTGAGAAAGTCTCGGTCCCATACCATGGCGGCATATTTCTGACTCTGGCGTTCCCGTTCTGCTTTGATCTCCATCTCAATGGCCTCCCGGATAGCAAGCTTGCAGGCACGCTGGCAGATTTCAGTGAGGTCAGCACCCGAAAAACCATGTGTGATCTTGGCTAGGTAATTCAAGTCCACATCCTGTTGGGAAAAGAGCCATGGACAATAGGAAGTGCTTTGCCCGCATACGGACACACCAGCCCTTCAAAGCCCGAGAAAGACCGTCCTTTCATGAAAGGTATGCTCCTTTGCAGGAAGGTGGCGGGGCTGAAGACAAGGGTAGGGTCTCCCAGTCCAGTCCCCACTTTGGACATCTGCTCTCCCACCTTGTTCCAGCTTCCCTCCTTATTTTCAGCCCTGCCTTAACTGACCTTTGCGACAGGAGACTTTCGCAGGTTGGCTTGTAGGATAGCCACACGAGACTTATCATCTGGCAAGGGGATGTAGATGAGCTGGTCCAGGCGGCCTGGACGTAAGATGGCCGGGTCAATGATGTCTGGCCTGGAGGTGAAAGAGACCAAATCAAGCCAAGGCTCACTGGCGAAATCACCCTGGGAATGGCCCTTTGCACCTCAGCTCGGGACCAGCACAGCAGAGTGACTCCATCCTTCGCTATCTGGCCGCAGTCACTTCTCTCCAGTGGACCAGCTCTCATTTAAGCCTTTCCCAAAGAGGTCTCAGGTCCCCACAGGTGAGGCTTTTATATGGCCATCTCCATGCCTCATTCACAGAGCTTAATGGGACAGGGTGGATGTGGATGGAAAGCCATGCACCTTCGCCACACATCTTCCATATTTATTCTTACCAGAAAAAAAAGGAGGAGGAAATAATGAAATAGGCACAGAATTCTTTTCGACTGGTAAGACTAGAAGCTCTCCATCCTGGAAGTATCTCTACCTCCAGCCCTATTACAGAATCTAGCAGGGTAAAGAGGAGCAAAATGTGGAGCTTGTGACTGACTGGCACTGTGGTAAACGAGCGGATGCTACCCACACATCGACAATGCCGCTTTGGTCGAGAGAAGCCCCACCTTGCACTGAATTCCCCCTTCCCTTCCATCTGCCCCACCCGTGTGGAAGGAAGGCTCACCTATTGGTGGCACCTATGATGAAAACAGTCTTCTTGTTGGTCATGCCATCCATTTCTGTGAGGATCTGGTTGATGACACGGTCAGCTGCGCCTCCGCCATCCCCAGCCCCACCCCCCCGGGCCTTGGCAATGGAGTCAAGCTCGTCGAAAAATAGGATGCAGGGAGCAGCTTGCCGGGCCTGGGGGCAGAAAATACCAACATAAGCTGGACAATGGAGAAGTGAGGTGAGACTGGTCCCAATGGCCTCTAGTGCTCAGCAGCTCTTTGTCCTTCCAGTGCAGTGCGTCTGGGCAGCGGGCTGTCCCTAACGGTTGATGCACCCTTCCAAAGAAGGGGTGAGGCTGGCCAGCTCCCAGCCTGACCCCATGGCAACAGAGAACTAGCCTGCTAAGCCACTGTGTTCTGAGGATATGTTAGGACTGCACAGTGACGGTATTTAGCAGGCAAACTCTCAGGCTGTGAACAAACAGGGGTTCTAACATGAGGGTTGGGCCTCATTTCCAGGGCCCACATCTGGCTTACCTGTGGTCCCAATTGGCTCCTCTGGGGTTCCACATTGGGTCGCGTGGATTACCAATAATTTGGGGATGGTTCCTAGATCTTGTGCTTCTTCCTCCCATTCTACACGGCTGAAATGCCTCTCCTGAAGCTTTGCTGGCCGTATTTTTCAAAATAAGCTATGCTGTTCTGCTGACTGCTTTTGCTTCTGGCCCCACCCACTACTGGAATGCAACCCTAAAGCACCTCTTGGAAATACGATTCCCCCTTGGGCTGAAGGGGGGCTACAGGGATGTGTGGTGTCGGTTCCAGAAGGGGATCAAGAGGCAAACACGTATTAAGACCATCACCTCATCAGTGAACTCCCTTAACAAACAGCTTTGGAATCACTGTCCTAATTTCTCTGTGCCTTTGGAAAAGCCCTCAACCATTCTGGAGGCTCAATGCAGCCTCTTTCTCTTGTCAGCTTCTCTTCATGGGCTACTGGGACAAAACTGGAAGCCTTAATTCTGTCCTCCTTGCCCTCCCAGGCCTCCTCTTCATACCTTGTCAAAAACATCACGAACGTTGGCCTCGCTCTCTCCAAACCACATGGTGAGCAGCTCAGGACCCTTGATGGAGACAAAATTGGCTTGGCATTCATTGGCAATGGCCTTGGCCAACAAGGTCTTCCCACAGCCAGGGGGTCCATAGAAGAGCACACCTCTCGATGGTGTCATCCCAAACTTCAGGAACTTATCAGGATACTCAACTGGGAACTGACGATGGGGGAAATGCAAAGGGTTAAGAAACAGATAATATCCCTCATCTTAACCACAACATGACTGCTAGTACCCGCTCTGGCTTCACCATGTTACTTGAAACACCAAATGACTGCTTTTATTTCTGGACTGGATCCAACTGAGATAAGGGAGTCTCCCCAACTTTACCCCCATTGCCTGTGGGATATAAGGACCACCTGCCAGCACTCTGAAAGGGGGGCAGGAGTGGAGTGGGGAAAATGCCGCGTATGCTTGTGAAATGGGCCTGTGCTCGTCCTCCTCTGCTCCATCCCTCCTATCCTCACACCTCCACACAGCATAACATGCTGAGGCTTGTTCGGAGAGGGAAGAGGAGCCTCCCCATGTTGGTCCACAAGCACTACCATCCCTGCCCATTGGCCATGCTGGCTGGGATAGCTGGGAGTTGGGGTCCAATAGCATTTGGAGGGTCACCAGTTCCCCAACTCTGTGTCAGGGAACAGGGTGTCTGTGAATATAGATGTAGTTTTAAATCCGCCTTCCCCAACCTGGTGTCCTTCAGATGTTTCAGATTACCATAATCCTTGACCACTGCTTTCACTGGCTGGATTTTATGGGAACTGTAATCCAGAACAGCTGGAGGACACCAGGTTGCTTGCCCCTGTACTAGAACCTGGACAAATAGGGCCCCTGCCACACCCCTACTGACCTGCACTAGCTCCTGTAGCTCACGTTTGACTTCCTGCAGGCCTCCAATATCATCCCAGCAGACCTGTGGCACCTCCACCACCGTCTCACGTAGTGCTGAAGGGTTGCTCTGGCCAAGGGCCCACTGTAACACAGGAGACACTGTTGTGACTGACAGGGCAGCAGGCAAACCAATCTGAAACGACGGCCTCCCTGACAGAGGCCACTGCTTGCTTGGACTCCCATTTCCCAGTCACCTTTCCACAAGGGAACTAGGACACTCAGTTAGGAGAGCACAGAAATTGTGTTAGTTCAAAGGAATGTCTTATCTATAGGCTAAAGGAATGTGTTAGCCTACAGATTTTCAACAAATGGATGAGCAGCAGTTTCCATTCATCTGGAAAGCAAGGTACTATAGTAAATGAATGTTTACTACAGGGTAATAGGACTCATTAGCTATTTCAGCGTTTAGATAAACTCAGGGCATCAGAATTTGGTTTATAAACAATTTGTAGCTATTCAGGACACAAAAAATGCTTTCTTCACAGAAATTAAAAAGTTAAGTTCTTTGTGTACTATATCATTCGAACCACTGCTGAATTTTATTTGCTTTTAATCAGTGCAGAAGCAACTGGAGTCTTAGAACACAGAAATGTAATTTTGAACTACCAGTGAAGCTGTAAAACAAAAAGAGAAAGGGGAGTGAGGTTGCCACTATCTTTTAAAGATTATTAGTCTTTTGAAAACGCCATCCAGTGAGCTCTAAAACCATGTAAGAACCTATGGACAGGTGTTTTGGTGCTGGAGCGGTCCTACCTGGAAATCATCCATGGTGACTGCCATAGAGTTGAGGATGTCGGCATCGATTGTGTCGTCCTCCAAGTCGATGACACTCATCTTTTTGCGGATGGCCTGGAGGGCTGCCTCAGAACACAATGCTGCCAGGTCAGCACCCACGTGCCCATGTGTCTCATTGGCCACCTGCAAATACACACTGTATGTGTTGGAGAGGGGTCTTGCATTGGACAGGAGTGTGTGAGTGAATGTGTGTGAGTGTGTGTGTGTGTGTGAGTGAGAGATCCTTAAGAGAATTTCTTCATGGTCAGGCATCAAATCCCTGAGCCAGGTTCTAGGGAAAGCAGGTCTTTTCCCTGCCCCCCCACTTCCTACTGCAGCTTCTCCATCTCCAGAGTCAGAAGATCCTGCTGAATGGGGCATTCTGTGGTGTGGAGGAAAGAGAACTCCCAAACTTTGGGCTGAAGAAGGTTCCGTCCTCTCACAGAAGGCATTTTTTCAATCTAATTGTGAATACTTAAAGACATCCTCCAATACACACAGAGTGCCTTCTGAATTGGTGCAGTGTAGGGTCACAAGGATGGTGGACAGATTGCAGGGGATGCTGAATGAGGCACGACTGAGGGAGCTCTGTCTTTTCAGCCTGGAGAAGAGGAGACTCTGAGGGGATCTGCTAGCGACATATAGATACATGAAGGGGTGTCACACTGAGGTGGGTAGAGACCTGTTTTTCCCTGCAGAGGAGGGTAGGATGCATTCCAATGGAGCAAAGCTCAGGGAACCAAGGCTCAGTTTGGATGCCAGGAAGCACTTCCTGACAGTTAGGGCCCCCAGGGTATGAAATGGGCTCCCATGGGAGGTGGCTGAAGCTCCATCAGTGAGGGCGGTCAAGGATAAGCTGGGCATGCACATGGTGGGCATGTCGTGAGCGGAGCCAGCTGGAGCCAAAGGTCAGACTAGATGGCCCAGAGGCCCCTTCTGACTCACTCTATGTTTCTATGAAGCTGTCAATCTGTGTGCATCCTCAATCTCTGAGTGAGGACATGCACTCCTTAACAAGCACCATCAGGCAATCCTCTGGGTTGCTTAAGCACCCCAGAACCTATAATAACAAGCATCTCAGAACTGATGCACTGCTTTCTTTCTTGCGCATTACAACTTTGCAAGTAAGAGAATGGTTATCAACGCCACCCCCAGCCCAAGATACAAAGGGCTTGCTCACATATTGAGGTCCCTCACATGATTTGGAGTCTTGATTAACAAGGGAAGTGACACAGTTAAAAGGCATCGCTTACGGTGTCTGAAAGGTCAAACTGTTGCATGTGATCTGTGATGGCTCCTCAGACATGCAAGTCACATTGCAGTAAATCTAGTGAGAGCGTGTGTCCTTACTACCCTCTAAATGACCCAAGCATCCTTGATTATCCCCTGGATCCACACCATCCCCACTTCCACGCAGGCATCCATTCCCTTGCCCTCACCCTCTCCAGGTCCACATCATCAGCCAGCTTCATGTTCTTGGTGTGTATCTGCAAGATTTCCAACCTTCCTACTGAATCTGGGATTCCAATGTCAATTTCTCGGTCAAAACGCCCTGCAGAGAGAGAGAAAAAAAGCACTGATCCCAGGCCCAGGAACCAGATTTCCCTGCGTGCATGAATAATTTTGTCCTCAGATGAGGAATCAATTAACTTAATGGATCACAGTGGCAAGTTAGGGTGTGTGCCTTGGCATGGCTGGGGTAGGTTTGTGGGTGGGGACGCAATGCTCTAATAGGTCTAAAGAGAAGCCTGCAATCCGTAACAGCACCTTTAGGTTGAAAAGTAGGATGCAAATATAAATTCTACATCCTGTACACTAGCAGCAACTCATGACATTGGACTCCATTTTCTTTAACGCCCATAACCAGAGGAGGAGAAGGTCTGGAGCAAAAAAGATGAGGATACAGGAGGCTACTTATACATTGTCCTCAAATAAGAAATGCATCACCTAAACATAAATCGTGCATGTGCTGCTTTATACATGTAGATCCAAATTTGGAAATTAGGCAAACTTAAGTAGAAATACAAGGCGTCTTGCTATAGTGGGGAAGACTGTAGTTACACCCTGTGCAGTTCAGTCTGATGTCCAGATGCTCCCTGATGATGGGCAGCTTCAAGACCTTTGCTACTCTCCCTTCTTATGGTTCTTTCCCTTTGAACAGACTTGACAGCCCTTCCAACAGGGATGACAGGGCTGTCCTCCAACCATCCTTGAAACAGAAGACCCAGCCATTTTATGAGCATATGGAGCTGTCTCATACCAAAGCGGCGCAGAGCAGGATCAATACTATTCGGTCGATTTGTAGCAGCCATGACTATCACATGAGAGCGTTGCTTCAGGCCGTCCATAAGTGTGAGCAGCTGAGAGACGATGCGGCGTTCCACTTCCCCGTGTGTCTGCAAAGAGCATGCAAAAAGGAGGAGACGATGCTTCTTAAGAACATGTTAGCCAGTTTCTCCTTGAAGTCAGCCATTCGCACTGAGCTTCAGTTGTGAGCACAGCGCCCTCTAGCGGTGGATATGCATGAGGAGAAGATTGGGGATGGGACTGTATATTGAAAGAAAGCAACTGAACCGATGGAACGTGATAATGGGGACATGCCCCTTGCACCACTGGGTCTCCTGTATCTGGATCCATGGAGGAAATAGCTTAAGATAATGCAGGGTTCTCAGTGCACTGCTCAAAGTGGCAGACTAGTGCTGCAGAGACCCAGGTTCGAATCCCCACTTAGTCACAAAGCTCACTGGGGACTCTGGGCCAGACACCGTCTCTCAGCTTAACCTTCTTCAAGGGGTTGTTGTGAGGACAGCAGTGAGAGGAAGAACATGTGCACTGGAGGCAGTTCCCCAATAAAAAGATGAGATTTATGTAATACTAGCAGGATTCTGGAACATGGAGAAATTATTTTCCTCCAGTGACAGCAAATGCCAGCAAAGATCAGGGTGTTTGCTCAGTCCTTCTGTGTTGTGACCCTGACTGCCAAGTTAAGAAATTGTAGGACACAAACTAGACTTCCACAGTATGGCCCCAGCTGGTGTCAAGCCTGGGAGTCACTGCTCTTAGTACTTAGCCTGGGGCAAAACAGAAGGCCTTTTAAAGACCTAACAGGACTGGATGACTTCTGTTCCACCATCTCTTCTCTTTCATGCTGACCAGCTTAACATGTACCAGGGTCCTCAATAGCCCCAGCAACATTTCCAAGTGATGCCAACAAGAAAGGGCTGGCACAGCTGCAGTGCCTGTGTGTGCGGAGGCTTTGTTTAAGAATGCAGGCTTTGTTTAAGGCAGCCTTGCCCAACCTGGTGCTACCAATGTTTTGGGGTACAACTGCTATCAATCCCAGCCACAGTAGCCACTGCAGGAATTATGGGAGTTGTGATCCAAAGCATCAGAGGGTACCAAGTTGGGGAAGACTGGTTTAAACTCTCCTTTCACCCACTGTAAGACAGAATTAAAATTCCCACCTCTGGAATAGACTTCCAGAGTAGTATGCCTAATGCCTTGCTGCATAATTTTGGCATGAGACGAAGGTGGTTTTATTTTCCAGATATTTTAGTAATTAAATAGTGTTTTAAAATTTTATATGAATATATAGTTTTAGTTTACTATACCTGTTAATATTGAATCGATCTATATAATTGTGTTATTTTGTATCTTCGTATTTTATTTGTTTTAATTGTTCACCACCCAGAGTCCTATTTAGGACTATTGGTGTGGTTTATAAATTCCATAAATAAATAAATGCCTTTGAAATTTCTGGAGGCAGCCCTTTACATGGGAATACCTCCCCACTGGCCCTCACATTGCATCCCAGTTTGGAGACGCAGCAGCCCTTGGGTGCATGTTTCCCCGCAGTTTACTTTTTGGCTCCTAGTGATCCTCTGCCTTACCTTCTCCCTCTTAGGAGCAATGGCATCCAGCTCATCAATAAAGATAATAGCTGGAGCATTCTTCTCCGCCTCTTCAAAGGCTTTGCGCAGATTGCTCTCAGATTCCCCAGCCAATTTGCTCATGATCTCTGGGCCTATGGAAGAATAAAAGGTGGTAAACAATCCTGGCCAGGCTTTCTGAATGACCTCTCCTATACTCCAGACCATGGGTCCTCAAACTACGGCCCACGGGACAGATCCATCCGGCCTCTGCTGCAGTTTGCCGCCTGCACACACGCTTGCTGAGCAGGCAGGGAGGTGGTGGCTCGCTCACTCGGAGATGGTCTCTGAGCGAACAACCTGCCACCACCACCTGCCTCCTGTACGTGCGCGCTCGCTCGCTCGCTGCTGCCTCACAGCGCGGGTGGGGAGGTGGTGGCTCACTCGCTCGGAGATGGTTTTGGACTTGCTGGAAGATCTCCGAGCGAGTGAGCCACCGTCCCATGCGCCCGATGCCGCCTCACGCAATGGCACCTCACCAGCCCGTGCCCAAAGGCACCCCCACCTTGCCAGCCTGCGACGGTCACCACAGCCTTTCAACTGGCCCCCTATTCAAAAAGTTTGAGGACCCCTGCTTCAGACTAAGCGAAGCAGACCTCAAGAGCAGCCTTCTCCAATGCAGTAGCCTCTCTCCTTTTTAATTGCAACTCCCATCATTCCTGGCCATTGCCCATGTGGGCTGGAGCTCGGAAGAGTGGGGCCCTTCTGTTTCAGACTGCCACAGTGGGGAAAGGTGCCTTAGAAAATTACTGTGAAAGAACAAAGGGGCATGAAAGCAGAAAACACTATGCCAGACTTGCTGATGCCTGCTTTGGACACAGCCTAGGGTCTGCAACTTGATGTTCTGTTTTGTCACTCTGTCATTATTATCTTGATGGCATTCAACATCATCATCATCATCATTTTTGGGTGGTAAGAAAGAATGGAGTGGGATGTTCAGGATGGATGAGCCATTTCCAGGTATTTCCACCCACCCCACCTGCCTCCATGCCACATTTCTCACCATTGATAAGGAAGAAAAAGGCTCCAGTTTCATTTGCAACTGCACGGGCCACGAGTGTTTTCCCAGTACCAGGGGGACCATAAAGTAGAATCCCTCGCGGAGGCTGAGCAAGAAGGAAAGGAAGCAAAGGATTCATATAAGATTCATGAAAGTGGTTTACCTAACAGTAAGAGAACAAACATAATGGAGGAGGAAAAAAACTTGGACCCATGAATTATGTAAGAACGCAAGCCAAGGGAGCCTCCAGTGAGGGAAAGAAGAAGGATTCCTGCTATTTCAGAAGTATTTTGTTTGGACAATCCTGCTTGGAGGATTGGAGAGAAACATGGCGGGGAATAAATATAGGAAAAGTCCATGCTCTCTGCAGTTTAAAGTGTGATGCACTATATAAATAAACAACAACGAGGAATGGATACTGCAGAGCCTGTTATGTCCTGGCCTTCACACTGCCCCTGTTGTACCTTCACACCAATAGCTTTGAAGAGTGCTGGGTGCCTCAGTGGCAGCTCCACCATCTCCTTGATCTGCGCCAGCTGCTTACGGCAGCCTCCAATGTCATCATAACCAACATCATTGAGGCTCTCCTCTTCATCCTGTCAGGGCAGAGAGCAAACAAAGCACACAGCATTACTTTTACAGGAACATGATGCCCCCCTTTCCAGCCAGGACTTTACCATTGTCCTGAACAAGCTGAATATTTCAAGAAGACAGGCAGGCTCATGTCTTCACTCTTCCCCTTGGCCCTCTCTTCTCGACCAATGCTTATATTTTCTTAGGAAACACTGTCACATGGGTAATTTTGTCTGGCATCTCATCCCCAAATCCTGTGCACCATCCATTAATTGGGATCTAGGAATAAATACCCAGCCAAGACCCAGCTGCCAGCATTCCCAGCCCTGAAGTGGGTCGGTTTGGCTGCTACACGTACCTCTCGTTTGATGGGCTCCCCCTCGCAGTGGATGATGGTGTCAGGAGCAACAATGCAGTGGGGAGTGGGGTCTACCTCCACCACCTTAAACTCCACAGCTCTCATCCCACCTCGGACAAGGAAAATATCTCCTGGGAAGGACATTGTTAGTTTGAGAAATGTCAAATTAATTATCCTCATCAGAATGCAGCCTCAAAATAATGGTGCATATGAAAAACAAGGATAGCCATACAAGTCCATGAAAAAAAGAATCTGGTGTAGGGCATGGCCTTTATTAGAACCCACCAAAATTCCTCCAAAATGTGCAAGCTTTTCTGTTCTCCAGAACTCTTTCTCAGACCAGGCAGTACAAAAAGCAGGGGATGGGAGAAGAAGAGAACAGTGCAAAGTATGGGCAGGTGCGTGGCCATGAGGTCCGCCGTGAAGGTAAACCCAATCTCAAAAAGGCAGTCTGAATGAATCAGCCACTGGTAACTGTCGCAGGTATCAGATTACACCTAGCAATGCCTTTGGGGACAATGAAGCAATGGCTGATCCCCAGTTCTGAAAACATAAAAGCCATCTGTAACTGATCCAATCCAATTAAGAGAAGGAGATGGTGAGTCAGGGTGAAATAAAGGTTCTTCCCTACTAGCAAGAAGAGAACTGGGAACAAAGAGCCCTGTTGGGCTACCAAGCACCCATCTACAAATACGCATAATTCAACACTCAGGACAAGAAAATATTTCCTCTCTCAGCACCACCTTGGATAGGGCAAAGGTTGGGCCTGGGCAGGCGCTGGGCAAGGGGGTCATCCAGCACCGCCCCCCAGTGCCTCTTTGGTGGGCCCCTCCAAGGCTTGCAAGGGTGGAGAGGACGCATGGTGATTGCAGTGGGATATAGCAGAGGGAATGGGCATAGCACTGAAACTCACAGCTCTAGCCACTTAATATTATCTCAGCCCAGCACTGAAAACACAAATGCCACGTTAAGACAGCTGCGCTTGCCATTTTCAGCATCCACAGGGCGTAAGGCCCCTAGCAGTGATGTGACGTATGCTGGGGCCAGGGCCCAGGGGCAACAGGGATGAATGAAGAGAATAGCTATGTCAGGCATTTAAAAATGTTGGGGGGGAAATGGAGCCAGGGTCGGCCACAATGGGCTCCTGGTGACCAGCATGGTGAACAAGCAGAGTCAAGAAAGTTATTAGAGAGAAGGCTTCCTCCATGAAAGGGAAATCTTGGCCAAATCAGGAAAACAAGAGGGAGCTCGCAAACGCGAGATAAAAGCCAACAATAAGAGAAGCAAAAAACACTTCGAGGTGCATACTGCTCACAACATCAAGGCCAACAGTTAAGTGTTCTTTAAATATCTCAGAAAAAAGAAACCAGCCAGTGACGCAGTTAGACCGCTGGATGATAATGGAATAAAGAAGCACTAAGGGAGGATAGGAAGATTGCAGGGAAACAGAATGATTCTTTTTCCAACTGTAAATACAGCAGAGGATGCGGAATAGATGCCTGTTCTTCAATTTATGCATTCTGGAAGGGAGTCAGAGGAACTAAGGCACAGGTAGCTGTTGCTATGTGCCATCAAGTCCACTCTGACTTATGGTGAGTCTGTAAATGAATGCCCCCAAACATCCTGTCCTTGACAGCCCTGCTCAGTTCTTGTAAACTTAAGGCAGTGGCTTCCTTTATAGAATCAATCCTTCTCATTAAACCAGGTAGTAGTGACAAAAGATGAAATTCTCAACCTCACTCACATGCTGAAAATTAATAAATCACCAGGCCCAGATGGTATCCATCCTGGAGTTCTTAACGAGTTCAAATATGAAATTGCAGTCTTACCAAAATATTTAATATGCCTCTAAGATCAGCATCTTTACCAGAGGACTGGAGAACAAACAATGTAATTCTGATTTTTAACAAGGGATTCAGGAAGGATCTATGAAATTATAGGCCAGTTAGCTTAATGCCTGCTCTAGATAAATTACTTGAAAGCATAATTAAAGATAGAATCAGTAAGCACATAGAGGAATGAGCCCTGCTGAAAAAGAATCAACGGGGCTTCTGCAAGGAAAAGCCCTGTGCCACTAAAGCTATTAGAGTTCTTTGAGAATGTCAGTAAGCATGAGGACAAGGGCAATCTGGTAGACACTGTTTCCTTGAACTTCCAAAAGGCCTTTGACAAAGTCCCTCACCAAAGACTCCTGAGCAAACTAAGCAGTCATGGAATTTAAAAAGGGGGTCCTCTTCCTTGGATTTTTCCACAAAGCACATAGTTAAACTAAGAAATTCGCTGCAGCAGAAAGTAGCGGTGGCCACTAATCTGGTTGGCTTTAAAGGGGGATTGGACTAATTCATGGAGGAGAGCGCTATCAGTGGCTACTATCCTTGCTGGCTCTGTGTCAGCTCTGTCATCAGAGGTTATTTGCATGCATGCACCAATTGCTCAGGAGCTTGGGCAGGGGGAACTGTTGCCCCCATCCTGCTTGAGGAATCCTGTGGGCAGCCAAATTGCCACTATGTGAATGGAGTGCTGGACTAAATAGATCATTGATCTGATCCAGCATGGGGTTTTTTTATGCTCTTCTTATGTTCTTATGAGCCTGGGGACAATAGCATTTGTCCTTTCATGAGAAATGGAAGTCAGGCCTGCATAGATACTGCAACTATAATCTGTCCCAACTCAAAGCCCCTTCTTCCCGGTGCTTCTGTCTTCTCACTTAACCCCAATCCTCATGACAATTCTAGTGAGATGACTGAGTCTGTGGATGCGCCACTTGTGGCCCTCCACTCCAAATATTTTGGCCTACAATTCCCATCAGTCCTAGCCAGAAGACAATGGTAAGGGATCATGGGAGTTACAGGCCAAAACATCTGGAGTGCTACAAGTCCATCCCTGATGTAGCCAATTAGGCTGGCGAAGCAGAGCATTTTGTCTCTGATTTGTCAGCCCAACTGGATTTCATACCAGCCGTGGAGAAATGGCTGCATGTTCTCTACAACTACGTACCATGGAAGTCTCAAAATGCAGATGGCAAAGCAGGAACAGAGCATTCTGCTTGGCCAGCTCAGTCACCCAATATGAGGTTCCACAGCTTCCACTTCGGGTGAAGGGGCACGACCAAGAGGGTGCAGCCTGGTGGCAGAGCTTGGTGGGCCCAGGAGGCCTCCATCACAGATCTAAGTTGTCTTGTCCCTCCTTACCTTTGTGGACAGGTCGATAGGCCTCCAGAAAGTACGGTTTGAGGTACACTTCAAAGAGGTTCCCGGTCAAGCCAGTAATTGTGTCATCGATGGGCAGCACATGGATCCGCTTTCCATACTTCACATCTGGACAGGCTTGCACACTATAGAGGAAGACTCCACTGGGTCTCATAAAACCACACAACACAGTGTAGTGCAGTCTTTTAGGGACAACTCGGAACCTGTGGCACAGCGACCTACTAGGCAGACACTGTCATTTTGACACAGCGGCCCTTATGAAGGTTTAGTGACTGCTACTGAATTGACCTCAGATTCTGTGTTGCTCAGCTTAAAATAAGTATATTTAGATAACTTTAGAGATGCAAAGAGCCAATAATTTGGGCTGCTTCCCTTCAACCAGGGACATCTTGACACAGCAGCCCTTATTAAGTTTTAGTGATTGCTACTGAGCTGACCTCAGAATTTGTGTTGCACAGCTTAAAATTATATTTAGGTGACTTTAAAGATGGAAAGAGCCAACAATTAGGGCTGTTTCCCTTTAACCAGGGACATTGGTAGGCAAGTAAAAGGCTCAGAGAACATAAATCGACATTAAAATCTGTATGTGCCACTTTATAGCTCTATATTAAAAGCTTAGGTATAATTGTTAGGATACAAATTTCACAGAATCAAGGCTAGGCAATTAATTCTTCATTCAAATAATTCCAAATAAAACCAGTTCTTCAATCAATTTGCATAATCCCAAAACAATGGACAACTTTTTTTGCCATGAAAAAGCAAATTCAGAGAGGCAGGGGGCACATATGCATATGTGTGTATATGTGCTGCAGCATGTGGGAAGGAAAGAATTAATCCTTCCCCACCAGCTGCAATCTTGCCTGAAAATTGCCCCCCTGTGTGTCAATTAAGCTGAGGGAAAAACTCCCATGGGCATCAAAGCATACTTAGGATTCCATGCAATAGATCCAGGGCCCTAAGAAAAAGATTTGGAGCAAGGCTCCCATGAGTCCAGGCCTAACAATACCCAAGCTGTTCAGATCTCCATATTTAGTCTTTGCAATAGTCAATCTTGCCCACTATGGTGCTTTAAGCTCTAGACGCCCCTCCACATACACTCACATTCTAAGAATGCCCTCACTGACACCTATGCCGGGTGAGCAAAAAGCAGGTCTCCAGAAATTTTAGTCCCATCATTCCTGACCACTGGCTGGGCTGACAACAGCTTCTGCAGTTCATTGATCTTTTCTGTTACCATTCCCACCTTGGGTTGGCCTTACCTGACCACATCTCCAAGACGCACACGGAGGTTGTTGCGGGTGACACGATTCATACGGATCTTCTCACTCTGGCAGGAGTCATCTGTGAGAACAATGCACACAGTCTCCCGCCGTTTCTTTCCCTTCAGCAGCACTGTGTCCCCTCGGAATAAGTGCAGTTCCTCCATTTTGGCCTGTAGGAAACCAAGAATGAAACTGAAGTAAGAAAATGTTCCATTAGTAGACATGGGACTAGATGTTTAAGATGTTGTTCTTGTGCCTGTCCACGGGTCATGTCTGTGGGAAAATAAATAACATACATTTTTTGCATATTGTTTATGTCAGTGCATGTATTTCTGGAGAAAATCGAGTCTGTGTGGTGTCTAAATGAGTTCACAGCATGTGCCCCAGTCACGCTGGCATAATTTGGCATACATGAGTTGCATATGTGCATTTCTCAGATGTGTTTGTGTGCCCTTGATGTGAACATCCAATATATCATCATCATCTATATACACTGTCTAGTCTATGGTTTTCCAGAAACATCTTTAAAATTCACAAAGGTGCTTCCCCACTTTACCATAGGAGCTATTTTAATTTCCTTCACAATGCATGATCATCCATGCTTTTCACAAATTCATCCTTAAATATTTGCTCTGTGCCTCGAGGCACATTTAATTCTAACTGTTTAACTGTTCCAACTGCTTCTTGAAACCACAAGGCATACTTCCTTAATCTTTCTCATGATCTCTGAACCACTTTACTCTTGGCAGGATAAGTTTATCAAACATGGCAACCTGGTGTTCTAAGTCAGTAAGTGGCTTCACTGGGCCCTTGCCATTGCTTCTGAGTCAAGAAATGAACCTGACTGAGCCACTGGCTTAAGGACCATTAGGGGTGCACACAGCTTGGCCAAGAGTTGGCTTTGCTTGTTCCTCAGTTTTTTGATTGGGCAAAACAAGGTGGGAGTAAAACAGATCAAGCCAGTGGCCCAAGGAGTGCTCCTCAGATCAGGTGCTCAGCCAAGAGCCTTTCCTGACTAGTTCCTTCTTCCTTCTCCAAGGATTGTGTACTACCTATAGTGCACAGAGTCATTTCCTTTGTGGCACCAAAACTGGATAATAGTTTCTCCTGGCAAAGTGAACTAGTGCCTATACATTTGATTCCTTTATTGCTTTTTAAATCTGTTGTTTTATTTTTAAACCTTTACACTACCATTGGTTTTTACTTTGGTTTTATACATCTGTAATTCTACCACAAAATTACAGATGTAGTATTACATTTGTTAAGTTTTATATTTATTGTGCTGTATTTTACAGTTCTCACAGTCCTGAATTACCCAGAGTGCTTGGCCTTTGGGCCATAAAGAAACAAATGCAATAAATGAATAAAATCATCTGCCAAGAATGAAGCAGTGGTGGCTCATTTGATGGTAGGAAGTAGGGCACAGGATCATGATTGGTTTCCATGGGGCAGAAAGGACAGGGCAGCCTCTGTAGAGTTACCTGGGACAGGCTCACGATGCTGTTATCCTCATTGGCAGCTTCATCCACAATGAGGCGATTGGGACGATGCTTCTGGCGCAGGATAGCTGTGGAATAATCCTCTCCCTTGGAGCTGCAGACAAGTTGATAATGAAGAGGTTTAGTAAATGTATATGTCACTTACCTTCTTTTAAAAAATCTGTAAGCAATACCTCTAAGACAGGAGAAAAGTTCTTTCTAATGCTTGAACATGTGGGTACTGTGGTGAAGGAATGCTTTAGAGAAGGGAGAATGCCTACAACAGGGACAAGCTACCTTTTCAGCTGTGGGCACATTTGGCAAACTGTCCTGGGCACTTCACAAAATGGCCGCCATAGGAGTCAAGTAGGACAGGTAACCTAACCCCTGAGATCGGTGTCAAAGGTAATGGTGGAGTCCAGTTCACTAGACAACACTTTCACATCCACAGTTTTCAGCATCAACACAAACCACTTTCACACAAATCCCATTTGCTGGTCAGATGACAGGTTAATTGAATAAAAAAAGGAAAGTGGGAGAGGTAGGGCACTTTGGTGGGGACCATGAAAGTGTCTGGGGACACACTGGTACTATGTTACCCAACCCTGATCCTCAATAATCAGAATTTTTGAGACAGAGAAATCAAGGGATAGCGTGATATCACTCTTGGTCAGTAGAGAATCTTGTGGTTCTGTATCTCACAGAACTTCTGTCAGAAAACTCTGTGTTACTCACCTTTTTCAATTTCCATGAGAAAAACTTTGAATGTTCATAAAAAGATATGGGACTTTGAGGAAGGTGTTGTGCTAATGAACAGGGCACCCTGTCAGGACAAGATTCCCTGCCAACTCCCTTCCAGATGTGATTACAAGAGAATGTATTTTAAGAACATTTACTCTGGATACTTTCATACATAGTCACTGAAAATACATGGGTATTATTCCTCAGTGGCACAAGTGATTATAAATCACATGCCCAAAAGGGCATATGAATCCACATGCTCAAGAGGGGAACCAAGACCTCCCTCCTTTTTAAATGTTGCAAGAATTGCAGGGATTATCAAAGAGGTGCCTTGGACTCTTGTGCAACAGCCAGCCCTCAAGATTACCCTAGAATACTGGCTTGAAGGCTTCAAAAATGGCATGGGTATGTTTTAAGAAGGAAACTGTCAAAACACCTACAATAAGTATACATGTACTGAACTGGGTCTGCATGTCTTTGCTACACTGGATCCAGTTGCTGTGAAAGCAACTCGTTTTGCTAGCCAAGAAAGTGGGAAGATGAAAAGTTTCTAGCACTACCATTCAGAAGAAGCTGTGCCGCTTTTCCATTGTTCCCTCCTGAATGGATTTTTTGCAAAATGAAAAAAAAAAAGAAAAAGAAATAAACAATAGAAATAGTGGGAAAACACAGAATGGTTAGGAATGGAAGATGGTGAAGTCTGGAAACTTAAACATTGGTGAATCAGGGCCTGCCTTAAAAGTTTTGTTTCAAAGCACCCAAATTTCCTTTGCAGGAAATTTCAGAGGGATCACTATCTTAAAGATACTTCAAAACAATGCTTTTACTATATCATCATCTGCCTCATTCATGGAATGAAGGGTCCAAATTATGTTGTCTTCCATTGACACCCTTTCTGGGTTTTTCCACTTCTTCTGTCCTTTCTCTGTCAACAAAAAATGCCCCAAACAAAACCCTGTTAAAGAAGATAAGACGGAACAGTGACACAATCACTTTTGTCAGCACTAGGAGCCTTTAGTTTGATAGAGCAAACTAGTGCACAGAAGACTAACATTGTGGTTTAACTTTTTGTGGACAAAGGTTAACCCTATGATGCATCTGACAAAGTCGGATCTCATCCACAAAGCTTATGCCACAATAAATTTACTATAAGGTGTCCTTTGTTATATTTTCTTTTCATAACAGTTTCAAAGGGAAGGAGGAAAACACAAATATCTAGTAAGGGGTCATGTTTCTCTCAAGCCTTGCTGCTCGGACAGATTCCAAAGCCTATATATATCCTACCAATGCTCCCCCTTCTCCATGCCCAGGGTATGTGATCAACTGTCGGATATAAACATCAGCTGCCCCCTGGTCAGGCTACCCAAAACAACTCTGGACATACAAGAGGAGGAAGGGCCCGCCCGTCCTGCTTAGAAAAGTGTGTGTTTTAGTCCAGGAAAAACGGCATTAGCAACGCCACAACAAAGCAAAACGCACGTCTGGGGAATCCCTCATATCCCAGCCGCTGCTTAGCTACCAAGTCTGGAATCCGGGAAAGTCTCCTCTAAACTTTTTCGCAGGGCCCAGGGCGGGCAGGCCCAAGCAAAGCTTCCCTGCTGCCGCCCCTGCCCGACCCTCCTCGGGCTCCTTTTCCTTCTCTCCTCCTACGCTGCTCCGAGGGGGGCGGGAGGGAAGTAGAAAATCCGGCCCTGCGGATCCCCCCTCCCGAGCCGCCCCAACCTAGCCGCGTAGCCCTCCAGGGGAGGCAGGGGGAAAACGTCGCGTTCATCCGCACAAAAGCACTTACTCCCCTCCCGTGGCAGGCATGCTGGCTGCTCCGGCCGGCCCCCTTCTTCCAGGGGCTGCTCCTGTCGGGTGCCGCTCACGCCGTCGGCTGCGGGCCGCCGATTCCTGCGCCCCTTCCCTCTCCGCCGCACAGGAGGACTTTGCCCGGCTGCCCCGCTCTGCCCCCCTGCCGGCTCACGACAGTTGGACCGCGTCCCAGCTCGGCCCACCGCCCGGCTCCGAGCCTCCTGGCCCGCCCTCTTTGCCCGCGCCCCGGCCAAGACTTTCCGGAGCGGTGGAGAATCGCCCGGCCGCAGGTCTGCCTTGGTGAAATATACTGCAGCCCTCTCGACTGCAAGTGCGCCAGACGAGTGAAAGCAGCAGTGGACTCGTGTTCTGAACCAGTCTTCTTGAGCTCACGCAACCGTTATAGACAATGAAACAGTGTATGCATGACACTCTCGTGGGTTTCTGTCATAGCTCTGACGCATTTCATTTGACTGCAGGAACCGTGAATACAGAACCCAAGAATGATCGTTGCTCCAGATTGTTGCAGTCCGAACGTGAAATTGCTTGCGCATGGTTGTGTGTGTGAGAGAGAGATAGAGAGAGAGAGAGAGGGTGCTTGCTTGATAGGGAAGAACAAGGAGGCAGTGGCATCTGCTGCTGCTTTTCTCACCACTATCTCAGTCTCTGCCAAAATGAGGTGAACAAGCAGGTTGCAAGAATAACGAGAAGGAAAAAGTTCGTGTGCTCTTGTCAGTGGGCCTCTCCTGCGATGCGGGTCCTCCGCAGGTGACCAAAAATGATACTGGACCTGCAATAATCAGTTATTCGGCTTTCAGCATTCGAAATGCTTACTATCCAACTCGTCAGAGAGTGTACCTTAACTGCTTCGCCTGCATGCTTCTTTTGAACTGTTCCAGCTCATAGTTCTCTAAAGGAGACGGGCAGTGGGTGCATACTTCAGTCCATTCCCAGTAGCAATTTACTGCTTGGTGATCACATATGACAGTCTGGTTTGAAGGGGCCTTATTTTGGGTAGTCCACATACTGTATTTGGAGTAATAAGTAATTGACACTTTCAGATATTTACGCATCACATGATGCCCCAATATCTGTAGAAGCTCATTATACATTAGTCTACAATTGGTGCAAATGTGCTACATTTATGAAAATGTTAATGACTGTAAAAGAAAAACAGAAAAACTCTGCCTTTATTTTCTTTCCCATCTGGTGTTAGGCCAAATCTCTCTGCTGGACAAAAGCATGCATGGCATAATAATTGAGTGTTAACATAAGACTAGATTATTTATTTGGACTGGTTAGGTGTGCAGGGGGAAGGTTTAATAGCTTGGGAGAATGCATACCAGTAGTAATTTTCATGTGTCTGAAACATACAGAAGAGAAAGCAACATATTCAAGGTTACTGTGGATTGTTGGACCACAGTACTATTTACTATTTCTTGACAAACTCCTTCAAATTGTATTTGCTGCAGTGCCACAAAAAGCTTTTCAACTGCCCATGAGTGTAAATTATTCCCCAAATTGTTTAATCATGAGGAATTTTTATTACCAGCACTTACCAAACATTTGAGAATCAATTGTCCACAATGGGCAACTGTGGTTTCTATCAATATTTTACAATTAGAATATGAGAAATCATTAGGAAATAATTTTCTAAGCTGTACTATTATTTCATTCTTTTAAACAGATTTTGATAGGAGCAATGAAATATCTGGTTTTAAATAAATTGCAGATTTCATTTGGAGCTTCATTATCATGCTAAGTTTCCCCCTCCTCTCTTTCTCTGTCTCTGTCTTCTTCCTTCTCCCCCTCCCCAATTCTAGAGGACTTCTAGAGAAGAGAGCACACTTATATTAAAACCTACTAAGAAGTAATTTGGAGTTGAAGAAAAATAGAACTCTACAGCAGCCTTCTCTAAAATATTTCCAGAGTTGCTCAGATTTGGGCTTTGAGCACAGAAGATAATGTTATGATTATGGATGTGCATAAATAAAACCTCCCCCTGCCTCGCATTGCTTGACAAAGGGTTGCGCTGTGGAAATCCTTGAACAAAATCAGTTCTGCTGAACCTGCTACTCCCTGCAGCATAGAATCCCCATTCGCCATGGGGTGTCTGATTCTGTTAGGCTACTATCTTTATTCAGATTCAGGTTATGCTTTTCAATGCACTTCTGCGGAGGCTTGGTGACAATCTATTCTCTCCCTCCTAGTCCTCCTTCCTTTTCTCTTGTGGGGCCAGCCAAAGTTTGGCTGAAATTGTATCATCATATCTTAAGTTGATAATGAAATCCTTCTGTTTATTCTCTGCCATATGCCCAGGATGCCTGTGGGGTGGGGGAGGTAGGGAAATGCATCTGCACACTTGGCACCAAACATGTCCAGATGGAATCCCATAAAAGAAGCAGCACTGAAGATGCAGCCAAGCCAGCACAGACGGCTCAAGATCTTCCTCGCTCACAGACACAAGCTGTAGAAGCATGAGCCCTGGTGCCCTGAGACAGTATTGCTTTTGAACTGTGGAGGCTGCAGGGAAGGATATGCCAAGGTCTGAAATGTGCTGCTTTGGGAACACGGGGTTGCTTCTTATACATCTGTGGCAGTGCTATTGGCAGATAAACTGGAAATACTTTCTTACCAGAGTCAGCACAGACCTCAGTAATGCACACTAGGAGGTGTTTGCCTTTAGATGAGGCAGAAGTATTCTTCTAACAGGGCTGCTTTGAGCATCAAGGGGGAGGGGTTGTCTCTGCACACTAAAAATATGCGATTTAAAAAGGTAATTATTGGACAGTAACCAAGTTTAGTGTTATACCTTCATTGTTTCTGTAGTGCCGGCAGGACTTCTGACAGGAAATCCAGAAATGAATGGAAATGCTCATCATTCCTGGAATTAGCTCCCTTCTGAAACATCTGTTGCCCTGCCCTGTTCTGGAAATGAGTATTTTGCCAATTTCTGATCACTGCAGGAGCTTCTCAGTGCACCAATGATGGGCCCTCCTGGTGTAAGGGCAATGTTGGATATTGCCAGTGTTATATATTGGAGCCAATAACTGGTCAGCATCCCCCACTAATTTAAAAATGCAAATTTATTCCCCTGCTTACTGCTGTTCCAAGGAGAATGCTAGGAATTACTAGCAGTGCTGTAAAATTGTAGTAAGGTGTGTCCTTTTGCTGACCTTGGTGCAGCAATGGGGAACACTCTACTTGTCTCTTAAGGGGTTTAGCCGGCTAGAGAGCTTTTAGCATTCTGAACTATCTATCCTGTACTGGCTCTTACAAACATTAAAGCTATACTTACCTGCACAGGTGTAATGCTGTGCATCCAACACTTGTCCACTAAGGAGAAGGGTCAGGGGAGTGTCCTTAACTACCCTGAGTCCATTTTAAAATTCCTGAGGAAAGAACACCACAGTGAATCAAGATTGTTGCTGATCCTGAATCTATGGAGTGTTTGAATGCCAGTGTAAATTGGCATTGTGCAATGTCAGATGTCAGACTCCTTCTGCCTGGTTGGGGAGACTGTGCCACATCCTCAGCTTTGGTTTCTGCTTAGTAAAATGAGACTATATGTGGCCTATCTCATTGGTAAAATGTTCAGGAGTTCTTTATTTTAGGCTAATTCACAAGACCAGTCTTCAGGCTTGAATGGGTCCCTCCCTCCTCACCCAAATGCTTTGCATTAGTTACTTTATTTCCTAGTTCATGCAAGCCATAGTTTACTCTTACACTGGAACTGGCAAACAATGGTTTGAGCTTGTCTTGATTGGAGTTTCAAGCCATGGTTTGCAAGCTAGTTTGCAGGGCAAGGACAAGCTGTTTTCCTGCTTTGGATGTAATGGCAAACTGAATTTTACGTGAAAGTGGAGGTAGCTAACCAGTATGGTGAACACAAGGAGCAGCAGCAGCACATGAGCCCACAGTCTGAATCAAGCCATTGTGAGGGAGCGAGATTCCATGTTCCAGGCATCAGATGAAGAGGTTGTTACATTTAGTCCCTGTCTGTAAGTTTGATCTCATGAGATCCCTCTCCTTCATACTAAAACAAGGAAATGTGATGGGGACCAAAGGGCCTCTCATGCTTTCAGCTCTACAGTGATAAGAACTGGCCAGTAGAGGGTGCTGCCACACAAAGAGAACCCAGAAGAATCGGGCTGCATCATGATGTCTAGCCAGGGGATTCTGCCCTAGGCAGCCCCCTGAAGGACTCTTCCCCACATTTACAGGCAGTGGCAGCAAAATAGGCCGGCTGTATGCTCTACATGGCAGTGGGCATCACAGCGAGCCTCCCTGCCCCCACCTGCATACCTATTTGTTGCATTCATATTCTCATGTATCAGCTAAAGCAGCCTTTAGTGCTCTCCAGGTGTTTTGGACTACAACCCCCACCAGCCCCAATCAGCATAGCCAATGGTTAGGAATGTTAGAAGTTGTAGTCTAAAACATCAAGAGGGAACCAGGTTGGGGGAAGGCTGAGCTGAAGCTAATGATAACTAAGGCTATAATCTTAGGGACCCTTTCCTGGAAGTAAGCTATTGAATACAGTGGGACTGACTTTGGAATAAGCTTACATAAGATTCAGTTTCATGGCCCATTGAGAGCAATGTGGATTAAATTAATTTATCCCAGTGGTTCCAACTGGACTTAGTCATGGTAACTTTAAGATAGACTAGGACAGCAGTGTGCAGTGGCACTAATGTTTTTAAGAAAATTCAAATTTATGTTAATTCTATGCTCAGGAACCAGTTCCTGCATGTCTGTGACATGCTGTATGTGCCTGGGAAAACAAGGCAAGGAAAAAAAACTTTTTCTACTGTATTTTAATATTGTCAATCAACAAAATAATCAGGGAACAGGGAGACAATTATTGTTGTTGTTAGTCGCAAAGTCGTGTCTGACCCATCGCGACCCCATGGACAACATTCCTCCAGGCCTTCCTGTCTTCCACCATCCCCTGGAGTCCACTCAAGCTCACACCAGCTGCTTCAATGACTCCATCTAGTCACCTCATTCTCTGCCATCCCCTGCTTCTTTTGCCATCTATTGTTCCCAGCATTAGGCTCTTCTCCAGGGAGTCCTTCCTTCTCATTAGGTGGCCAAAATATTTGAGTTTCATCTTCAGTATCTGGCCTTCTAAAGAGCAGTCAGGATTGATCTCTTCTAGGACAGACCTGTTTGATCATCTTGCAGTCCAAGGGACTTGCAGGAGTCTCCTCCAGCACCACAATTCAAAGGCCTCAATTCTTCGGGGCTCAGCCTTCCTTATGATCCAGCTTTCACAGCCATACATTGCAATTGGGAAAACCATAGCCTTGACTATATGCACTTTTGTTGGCAGGGTGATGTCCCTGCTTTTTACTATGCGTCTAGATTTGCCATAGCTTTCCTCCCCAGGAGCAAGCATCTTTTGATTTCTTGCCTGCAGTCCCTGTCTGCGGTGATCTTGGAGCCCAGGAAA